CTCTTCCGAGTTGTGGTGCCATTCCATGTCTCTAGTGCACATTGACACGAAATCCAGCACACCATAACATTTTTGGAAGAAAAGACATAACTTGTGTGTACCGCTGGTGTGATTTTGTGCTGTGCTTGGGGCTGTGCATGCCCAAATCTCGCCCGTGAGGGAGTACAAGACCCAGTTCTTGCTTTGCTGGAGAGCAAATAGGGGTGCCCGGATCCTTTGCGGGCCCCGTGGCGGTCCCAGGGCACGGCCTCCCTTGCTCCCGGGCTGTGCTGATGCTGTGGTTTCTCTCATGTAGCCTCGCATGGACCAGTATTTTAATCAGATGGAGAAGATTGTGAAAGAGAGGAAAACGTCTTCGAGGATTCGGTTCATGCTTCAGGACGTAATAGACCTCAGGCTGGTACGTAGCCCCTGCAGTAAGGAAAAGAGGATGCTCTTCCCCCAGGAGCAGGGATTGCAGCGCCTGGGGACAGGGCTGAATTTGTGCTTTTTGGGGTCACGGCTGAATCTGTGCTTTTCGGCTTTCCTAGTGCAACTGGGTTTCGCGGCGAGCAGACCAGGGCCCGAAGACCATTGAGCAGATTCACAAAGAAGCCAAGATTGAAGAGCAGGAAGAACAGAGGAAGGTCCAACAACTCATGACCAAAGACAAGAGGAGACCGGGTAAAGTAAAAGTCGAGCTGGCTGCTATCTCACTGCTGTGCGTAGTCAGAATACCACCTAAATTAAGAAATCTGTTTTTTTTTTCCCCTACGTTTAATGAAGAGGAGGGATTTGGACCCCGGTTATGGCTGGGGCTGAACGTGGAGCAGACTCTGGATTGGCAGGGGGGTGGTTGGGGCAAATCCCTTGGTAAAAATAAACCTTCCAGGCCAATAGTGTTTAAGTTTTATTCATGCAAACTGCATCTTTTTATTTTCTGTTTCTGAAGCATCACGTTCCCTCGTGTTAGCTTTAAATCCTACCCTTTATTTCATCTGGCCTCAGCAGTTTCAGTAAGGCAGCAAGGCACCAGCTGGCAGTGGAAATGATCAGAAGGTTTGCTTTCCTTCCAGAAAGGCTGGAAATAACATTGTCAAAGTACAGAATAACTTTAAAGTGAGTCGCCACTGGCAAGACATTAAAATATCCATTGCCATATAAGTAGGAGTAAGGTAGAAGTCAAATGGCCCCTGAGAGAAGTGCGGAGGGAACCTTCCTAAAGCAGAAAGCAGCACTACAAAAATCTGACCTTGGAAATATTGTTGCTTATATCAAGGCTATTTTAGAATAATAAAGTCAGGGAAAGTAACTCTATGAGCTCAGTCCAAAGAAATACCCCGAGAGATGATTTTGGCACAGGGTTGTGCAGGGGCTTAGCCAGCTGCACCGTCTTCGGTCCCTCCTCGTGTTGAATTTGGAGATGGTTGTGTGCAATCTCCTTGGGGGCAGCAGATAAGGAGCTACAGGAGCCACATCTGTCTTTTGGTAGGTGTCCAGCGGGTCGATGAAGGCGGTTGGAACACTGTGCAAGGGGCGAAGAACAGCAGAGTGCTGGACCCCACCAAGTTCCTTAAAATCACCAAGGTAGGAAGCAGTGCAAAGCTCCTCCAGAGCCACAACAGTGCCCAGATGTCACCTGGCTGCATCCTTCTAGGTAGCAAACCCTGCTACGGTGCTTGCGGCTCAGAAGTTGTCTGGGGCAACGCGTTGGTACTTTAAATCCTGAACGTTTGTAGTGTACATAAATAAAACACAGAGAGAAATGCTGTCCTCTTCTAAATGTCCCTATTTTGTTTGATTCAAGGCAAAACAGCGTGCATAAATGTTTCCTAATACTCATAAGGATGCTTTTAGTGGCTCGTAATATTGTGATTTGAAAAACTGCATTTTATTAAGCGGCGAAAAGAGAATGCAGTGGAGATGCCACCTTCGCATTTAAAACAAAATGTTCCTAATGTATCAGGGTCAAAAGGCTCAGGTAGCCTGAGAAGGGCAGTGCCCGCTGCTGGGCTGGTGGACAGCAGAGACAGCTGATTTCTTGCAAACATTTTTGAAGTTCAGTTCTTTTTCCTCTACCGAGCTCTGTTGCTTCTAATAGAGAGATGCTCCCAGGCACAGTGAACATCTCCCACTTTGCAAGAGGCTGTTTCTCATGCACTTGATGCATCCTCTGTCTTTGGCTAGAGTTCGGTGTTCCAAGAGTGCGTTAAAAAATTTCAATTCCCAAAGCAAGTATCCTGGGATAGTTGCAGAAAGTTCAGTTCTTTTTCCTCTACCGAGCTCTGTTGCTTCTAATAGAGAGATGCTCCCAGGCACAGTGAACATCTCCCACTTTGCAAGAGGCTGTTTCTCATGCACTTGATGCATCCTCTGTCTTTGGCTAGAGTTCGGTGTTCCAAGAGTGCGTTAAAAAATTTCAATTCCCAAAGCAAGTATCCTGAGATAGTTAAACTACCCAGTGTGTAAAATAATGTAAACTTTTCCCTCTGATGCATTTTGCAGCCCACAATAGATGAGAAGATACAGCTTGTGCCTAAAGCCCAGTTGGGCAGCTGGGGCAAGGGCAGCAGTGGTGGAGCCAAGGCGAGCGAGATGGGTAAGTCGGAGGGAACCGGCTCTTCCTGCCGAGGTCTGGGGCTGGGAATGGGGCTGGGAAAGGGTGAGGAGGTGGGGATACATCTGCATCCTGGCAGAAATGGCAGCTGAAGCTTAACTCCAAGCCATCCCAAAAGAAAAGCAATGTGTATGCTGAGCCCTGGCATCACCGGCAGAACCGGCGCGTCGGGTTTCCAGCAGCCTAGAATGGGGCAGGATCAGCCCTTTCCCTGCCCTTCCCTCCCCGTCGCTCTGGGAACAGCAGCTCTTGCTCATATGGTTTTGTGATGCCTTTCTGCCACCAACCCTGTCCTTCATCCTTGTGTTGTCTCTGCAATCTCGCAGACTCCCTACGACCAAGTGCCACTAGTCTGAACAGATTTTCTGCGCTGCAGCCTCCAGTCTCATCCGTATCTGCCTCATCTGCATCCTCAGAGTTAGATTCTCGCAGGGCCTTAACTAGGTAAGGTTCAGAACGCTGGTGACATTCCCCTTCCCTGGTCACACACCTGTGCTTCTCCCTTGCTGCTCCAAATCCTAGTGCGCTGATAGAAGAGGTTTTGATTGAGTTGTCTCTGGGAATAGCTGCATCTTTTCTCACCCTGTGTATTCCAAGTTAACTTAAAACACACCCATCTTATAATATCAAAGGAGAGCCAGCTGGCATTGATTTTAAAGCAGTCATGATGACTGCCTTAGTTTCTCATTTTTCAATCACCCTTTAGGTAGAAGCATAGACTTGCTGGTAGGTTGTAAGTTTAATAACTCTTAATAAATGGTAATGTATAGAGATTGGATTCAGCGGTGGGGAATTCAACCAGGTCAGGAGGTTTGTTTCTCCAGAACAGCACCCCTCGACCGGGTGCAGATGCAGCAAGGCTCTCCAGTGCTCGGAGCCATCCCATG